CCCCCCCGTTCCGCTACTGACCCCCACCCCAAGTCTGGCTCCGGGCACGCAGCGGGATGGAGAGAAGCAGCCCAGCCCTGCCCCAGTACCGATGAGAAACCCGAGTAGTAGTAGCCCGGCCGCTGCCGCCAGGCTCAGGGCATAGAGGCGACCCCTGCTGCCCCACGGCGAGCTCCGCTCTGCGCCGCTCCGGAGCGCGGTCCACATGCTGGCCCTGCCGGCCTACACCCCGCGGTGCGGCCCCAGAGTCTCAGCGCCGGGGCGAAGTCCTCTTCGCTCCAGCAGGCAGGGAAGGGAGATCACGGACTACTCCCCCCCCCCTTGAACCCAGCCCGAGCCCGGCCCCTCTCTCTGCGTAGCGCACGCACGGCGACTTCCCGGCTAGGCAGCTGAGCTAGTTCCCGGCCCGTTAAAGAAGCAGGATTTTGCACCGTCTTTCGATTAGAGAAGGGCTCAGATTTAATAGCCCCGTGAGATCAGGATCCCGAGTCAGACTTTGAGAAGTAAAAAGAAGCTGGGATTGATTTTCTAGTGGGAGGCACACATGGGAGAGGGAGAAGATGGTCTGAGTAGGGTTTGGGGGAATGGCACTGTGCGAAGCCAGCGTAGCCCAGGGGCATTTTCTATTCCCTGCTTCCTCTCTTGCTTGCTTGCTCTTATGCCCCTATGTTTAAACCTGTCCACTCAGCTGGTGCAGACAGGCTTCGTTTCTGCCTCTTTGCTCACTGCTATACATTTACTTGCAGTATATTAATCAGCTGCTTATGTCTTTGTGTGCACTCAGGATTTCCATACTGGGCATATAGTCCCTGGTAAACAAAGGGGAATAAACTGGGACTCAAGCTGTGTGGAAATCTGGGTAGCTGCAATTGTGTTCTTTACTGAGTCCCCTCATGTTTGGGACCCTGGATTTCAGATATCATGGCATTCTCACCCTCATACCTCCATAGTGTTATAGAGTATCCTCCATTATCAGATTACTGAGGCTATGTCTACATTTCCAGGTTATTTCAAAATAAGTTATTTCAAAATGATAACTCCCAAAATAACTATTTTGAAATAAGCTTATTCCTCTTCACAAGCAGGAGTTATTTCAAAATAACAAGCCCATTATTTTGAAATAATAGTCTTGGTAGTGTGGACACTTGCCTTGTTATTTTGAAACAAGGAGAGTTCTTTCAAAACAACTCACCAGAGTAGACATGCCCTGAGCTTCAACCCTCAAAAAGAGCTGTTTATTTAACACACAGAGGCAGAACTGAACCTAGAACCTGTAGGCTCTGTCTACACTGTGAGTTTTCTCTGAAAGAAATATGCTAATGAGGGACTCATTTGCATGAGTCGTGATCTCATTTGCATATTTTCTGCAGATCCATTTTTGCACTAGGTGTTTTACGCAAAAACAATCAGTATGGATGTTTTCTTTTTGCATAAAAACCCTTTTTCCCCACAAGATACTTATGCCCCAAAAAAGATGGTTTACCAATCGTGCGGGAAAAGTGTTTTTTGAAATGTCCATGCTGCTTGTTTTTGCTCAAAAACACCTAGGCTGTGTCTAGACTGCATCCCTTTTCTGTAAAAGGGATGCAAATTAGACACATTGCAATTGCAAATGAAGCCGGGATTTAAATCCCCTCCGCTTCATTTGCATGAACATGGCTGCCACTTTTTTCCAGCTCGGAGCTTTGCCGGAAAAAAGCGCCAGTCTAGACGGGGATCTTTCGGAAAATAAAGCTTTTTCCGAAAGATCCCTTATTTCTTTTTTTAAGAGGAATAAGGGATCTTTCGGAAAAGGCTTTATTTTCCAAAAGATCCCCGTCTAGACTGGTGCTTTTTTCCGGCAAAGCTCTGAGCCGGAAAAAAGCAGCAGCTGTATTTATGCAAATGAAGTGGGGGGGATTTAAATCCCCACTTCATTTGCAATTGCGATATGTCTAATTTGCATCCCTTTTACGGAAAAGGGATGCAGTCTAGACACAGCCCTAGTGCAAAAATGGATTGTCAAAAAATATGCAAATGAGATTGTGACTCGTGCAAATGAGTCCCTTATTAGCATATATTTTGCCAAGAAAACTCATACTGTAGGGCTGCTTCTAGTCTGTCACGTTTTTCCGCAAAAGCAGCCGCTTTTGAGGAAAAACTTGCCAGCTGTCTACACTGGCCGCTTGAATTTGCACAAGAGCACTGACGATCTGATGTAAGATTGTCAGTGTTCTTCCACAAATACTATGATGCTCCCCTTCGGGAAAAAGCCCTCTTGTGCATCAGTATTTGTGCAAGAGGGCCAGTGTAGACAGTTCAGGACTGTTTTGCGCAAAAAAGCCCCGATGGTGAAAATGGCGATCGGGGCTTTCTTGTGCAAAACTGCGTCTAGATAGGCACGGATGCTTTTCTGCAAAAAGTGCTTTTGCGCAAAAGCGTCCGTGCCAATCTAGATGCTCTTTTCCGCAAATTCTTTTAACGGAAAAACTTTTACGTTAAAAGCATGTGCGGAAAATCGTGCCAATCTAGACGTAGCCTAGATGTAGCTGTAGAGCTTTTGTAACCCACATACCTAGGATGGTCTTCTGTCTCATGTAGTGGCCCTTAGACCACTTACAGCAGGAGATAAGAAGAAGGGCACTCTACAGCCTAAGCTAAGCGCCAGCAAGCTTTTTAGCTCAAGCTCAAGAGGCTCCTATACTAAGCTTCAGAGGTTCCAGGTTCAAATCTGCCTTGTAGCAGTTACGTGTAGTGTATGATCCTGTACTGCTTGAGTTAAAAGCCCAGCTGGCTCTCAGCTCAGATTGTAGAAGAAACTTATTCTTTTGTTCTGTATGGGTGTGTCTAGACTACATGGCTCTGTCGACGGAGCCATGTAAATTAGTTTATTCGGCATAGTCAAAGAAGCGGGGATTTAAATAATCCCCACTTCATTAAAATAAACATGGCTGCTGCACTGTGCCGACGAACAGCTAATCCGGTACAGCATGGCAGTCTAGACGTGCCGCGGTCGACAAGGGAAGCCTTTGTCAACCGCTCCGGTATGCCTTGTTCACGGTATGCCTGTTTTATATCCAATTTTGTGATGGGTCTAGAGGCATAGAGAGGCGCAGTGACCAAACCTGACTAAACAAAATAAGTGGACCACAGGGACATTATGAGCTTAATTCAATCATATTTGTCTTGCACTTGTAGGCTCCTAAGCAGAAGGTGTTATGTGAGTGCAAAGTATTACACAGGATTACAGAGTTTCTTTGTGAAATCATGTAGCTAATTGGATATGTGGCTAAGGTGGGAAGTTATTATTTCTTTTCCACCTGTGATTTAGTGGAGAACTAAAGAGGAGTCCACCAGCTATTCTAATTCGTTAGTGAAACATTTGGGGTAGACACAGAATTATGTTTTTTTCTTTTTTTTTTCAAATGTGAATAGTTTGAAAGGCAAAAAACAAACAAGCAAGCAAACAAACAAACAAACCAACCTTCTGTCTGTTAAGTTGCAGGACACAGATAATCTCTTAATCATTCAGTCCAGTGTCATGCGGCGTGATAAAGTTTTCCCTAGTAAAAATAAAATCACTTCTGGTTTTATTATTTATATTGCATATCATCTAGGACCCTAGGTTTGCCAGGAAAACGGGACGTGTCATTTTCCATAACATGGAAAGGGAGGAGGCAGAGAAGAGGGACACAATACCGAGAGTGGCCACTGGGGGCAGTGAGAGCAGGGGAGAGCTATACTTCAGAGTGACCACTTGAGGCAGCCTCACCACCAAGAGAGTGGCGAGCAAGGCTGGAGATTGCCATCTTGTCTGCCACCGGACCAAGTAGGTAGATCCCCTGACCCAAACCTCTCCCGCCCATACCAGCCTTGGCTGCAGCACTGGAGGAGGGGAGAGAAAAGGCTTCTGGTGGCTGAGGGGTAGAGAAGGGCCCTGGTGACTGAGGAGGAGTTGGCGGGAGGGAGAGAGAATGCCCTTGGCAGCCGGGAGGCCTGGGGGGAGAGGGGGGCAGAGGATCCCTGGCAGCCAGTGGTGGGGGAGGGGAGAAGGCCCACGTGGTCAGATGGGCTGGGGAAGAGAGAAAGCCCTGCTGAATGGGACCCCCTGCTCTGAGCCCCTCCTCAACCCCCAACACTCACTCTGACATTCCCATGCCCCCAGCCTCCTGCCCTACACTCCCCCAGCACTCCAAGGCTCTGCCCTCTTACACCTACCAGGCCCTGCCCCATAGGACCTGGGCAATGCTGGGTAAGTCTTCTAGTCTACTATATATTTGAGAGGATTTATCTGTAAGCGAGTAAGTCTGTCTGTCCCTTTATTCAAGGACTTCTCCTAAATGGTAAGAGCTAGGACTACCAAATCTGGTATCCAGCGTCCTCTTATTCTAATTTAAAGAAAGGCTAGGGTTTGGTTGGGGGGTGGGGAGGAATGCAGAGGCTGAAGCTCCCCAGCCTGATTCATAAAGTGATGCATAAAAAGAACACCTGATAAATGGCAAGAGCTAGGATCAGCAAATTCATTATACAGCTTCCTCTTATCATAAACCAAGGTAAGGGGGAGCAGGGCTGACGCTCCCTCCTCAATGTGTACAATGGATGCATAAAATCATACAGAAAAGAGAGACTCACCAGGCAGCTGAAAGAGGCTGGTTGGGGGCACCCTTTCCCCCATTCGGGACTGCCCCAGTCTTAAGCCTCCTGTTCCCCAGGCACCTGTGAGGGAGATGATGGGGACTACAGCCCTTCCCCTCCCAAATTCATTGCTGGCTGTTCCCCTTTGTCAGGGGGCAAGGGGAAAGTGCACAGTTTGCTCCATTCCTTGATCTGACTGGAGAGTGAAGGGGGCAGATGAACATGCACTCCTCCCCCAGCTGTGCTGGTTGGAACTGCCACGGCCAATGAGAGGTGCCTCTCACCTAGTCCCAAGCTGCTGCAGTGAGAAAGAGCTGAGGTGGTCCTCTCTCCCC